CAGGATTCAGGGCCTTTGATCGGTTCTTCAAGTGATGCACAGATGGAATGCAGGTAGTTTGGGCAAAGCTGAACTACTTTCTAGTGAAGCAGGCTGGGAAGATTGCCCGATGAAGCCCTAGGCAGGTAACCTGTACCTCATCAACATGGATTTCACTTCCTCATGTGGTCTGTCCTTCCTTGTTGCTGATTCTTGGAAAATCTTGTTCCATGGACTTCAATAATTTGTGTGAATGAATAAAGATGAACACTCAATCTTCAGATAATTGTAAACAGGACCTGTAAGTAAGTCTGCAACTTGAAAGCACTAAGTTTATAGTGTGTTTTAAAGTATTACCAATGTTCAGGGGTATATAAAAGAGTACAAAAACTCCAATGAAAGGTGAAGCCATTATGAATGCATTGTGCTGTAAGAGAGAATTCATGCTGCCTTGATTATTGTATTTATTTCCCATTGCAAAACCCATGGAGGTGCACCAGTATGTATTGGTGTAACTCCACCATAATGGCCATGCCTGGATTGAATTCGACCAAAAAATGCTCAAAATTACTGGTATCTTCTTGCATAAAGTTCTTAGTACAAATCTCTGCCCATCTTCATTTAATTGCACACAGCTCTGATCCATTCATGCAGTTTGTTCTCTGAGTCACTCTCAGCTAGACACAACTTGGGCAATTATTTAGTAGGGTTCCTCTGTGTAATTTCATGCATGACTGACATGCCCTGCAGTCATCCTTACGCTCCTTTGATGATGGAGGCTGTACAGAGAGCAGCCTTGTGGCAAAATCCTAGTTCCCATTGAGTTTCACTATTGGCTCCTGTGGGCCCAAAGTTTCACCCTAAGTGTATTAAATCTATGAACTGCTATGAGGGACCAAGAACTGAGATAAGTTTAATTGCCTTGGGTGTTAAGCTCAGTTGTGGTTTATTTTAAGCATGCAGGGGAAGTGCTTCTTGAAGAGTGATTTGAAGAGACAGACTAAAAACGAGTACACCCCTGGGAATGGCTGAGGACCCATCCAGTTCCAGATTTAAATGGTTGTTATCTAATGAGCACAAGCAATTACTTGGCTAATGACCTCAACAAAATGAGCACAAGAAATGTGTTTCATCTGCAGTGGCCACTAGGAAGACATGGTTTTGAGCTTGAGGCTGCCCTTGCTTTAAGACCTGGGTCACTGCAGTGGGATTAATCCAGGGCATAAATCACAGGGGTTAGATTAGTGTTTGCTTTACTTGAATTCACATTTCTTGTTCTCTTATCTCCTCTAAATCTTGCAGCTTCTTAGCTCAGTGATGAACCAGGGAAAGGATTGGGTTTAAACAGCTACAGCTTCTCTCCTGAGCACTGGCTGTCAGCCCTCAGGCCTGATTTACCACTGGAACGCAATTATAAATTGGCACAATGCAATTAATGTGTCTTCCCTCCCCTTTCATGCCAGACAGGAATTCCTCCTTCACCTTCTTTAGTTGGAGTGATTTTTTATAATATAATTTAAACCAACGTGACTTTATTTGGCATTAGTCATGGGTCTGCCAGATTTGATGACATAAGGAGCTGATGGTACATCCCAGTTAGAGAGGGTTTTGTGTGTCTACTGCTATTCCTGTGCAAGTTCACATTGTTTGTGGGCCTCTTTTTGTTTGATTTTCTGGTTTTGTTCTCCTGCCTTTACAGCTGACAGTGACAGCCAGAACAACGAGGCAAACGTAGAATGAATTCCCTACATTTTTCCAGCCATTAAGCAAAAACCATGTGAGCTCAAGATATCCCCTCACTACCAAGTGAACTCACAGCCTTCCTGGTGTCAGTCTATCTGATCATCTGCAGATACTTCAGAAACAACATCTGACATCTGCCAGAGCTCTGACACTGCCTAGAAGTATGATTTTTTGAGAATAAGACCAGAAAGCCAAGGTTTTGGCTTGTAAGGAATCCTGTAAACACCAGAGCCACTGGACTTGCAGGGAACCCTACCTGTGGGAGATCATCTGGTCGGGCATGTTCTGCATAGCTGTTGTGTTTCAGAGCATTTAAGAAGATGCTGGTATATAGCACATACTGATGAAAGCAGTGGGGAAGAACATTTCTGTGCGTGGAAGGATAGGTGAAAATTACATGTGCAAGTTTTTAAGTTAACATTAGGGCCGGTGTAACAACTTTGTACTTTATTTTTAACATCCATTGCTAATTTTCTTTGCATTCTTCCTGATGTATTTCACTGAGGATTGCACACATTTTTTGATTTTACTCTTTATGGATATATTTCATTATGCCTAAGACTTTACTTATACAGTTTGTAGGAAATTAGAAATCTTAATGATTTTTTAATATTTTCAGGGAAATTGTTGCTCTTTAGGGGAGGCATAATAGAATTATGTGAATGAAAAGGAAATATTGGTTTCTTTACCCCCATGAAACTTCTCGGAGTCATGGCAATTATCAAATGAAGTTGAAACTGTAGCTAAACACTAAAGCAAATTAGTAAAAGGTATATTCAGCCCCAAGAGCATTTCACTTTTTTCTATGGTCTCACAATGGCTTAGATGACTTTTGCTCATTAATTTAATTACAACCTTCTTCCTAGGGCTTTTTGTTACTTTGCATGCCACAGGAAGTAAACTCAGGAGGTTTTGCTTATGTGGAATACATGGAGTAAGCAAGAGCTTCCAAAAGTTAGAGCAGAGCCAAGATGAAGTGGCAATACCTGTAGACTGCCCATGTTCATTTTCTCTGAGGCCGGTGAGTTGTTGCCTTCACTCCCGGTGATGAGCCTAAGGGCAGATGAATAAGTGCTGCTCAGGTATCTCAGTTGAGGTTTTCAAAGAGGTTTTCTTGGTGGCCTAACTCAGTCTTTGCTGAAACTCAGGATGGTTTTCCCAGTGATTTCAATAGCACCTATTACACAGTGCTGAAGGCTCTCAAAAAGCCCATCCATCTGCCATGAACATGGACTAAAAACCCGAGTCTGCTGCCTTTGAGAGGAGACAGCTTTCCTTGTGGCAAAGTAAATACTTGGGGTGCTGCCTCTTTCCCTCTGTTCCATATTCTTAGTTCTAGTTGGGTGTAAACACAGCCGTGGCTCTCCAGTACCAGAAAACCCCTTCAGGTCCACATTGATTTGAGAGGATTGCTCTCCGTATGTGTAGCACTCCAGAGTTGTTTCAGTTGTTCTTTGCCTTTTGAGACGAAAAGAGGTATCTGTGCTGGATCCTTGCTTAAATTCCTTTGCAACTCATTGGATTTTGCATTAAATTAAATTTCACATGCTGAGTGAGCAGCCAACCCTTATGAGCCTGGAGGAAAGAATATGCTGTTTCTGTGCATTTTAACGCGACGGTCAAGCTGGGGCTAACGCTGCCAGGCACCTCCTTCAGTGTTCACCTTTCAGCCTTTCCGTCCCCAAACCTCTATTTTTAAATGAGATGCCTGCATTTTATTACTGCTGTAAGTGGAAAACAACAGCATATGTTCTCTGCCCTCTAGAAAAGGCTTGGATTGTTTTGGTTTGAACTTTAAAATAAAGGTCATTCTTGAAGCAGGCATGAATTCGTGCATGTGTCAGCCCGAAAGGTGAAAGCTTTAGGAAGTTATGAGCAACCGCAAATGAGGCAGTTTCAAATTGCACTTGAAACTGGAACAGCTGTTGTTCAGAGCGTGACATTCAGAGTTATAATGCTAAAGATTCTATATATTCAGGGAGAACTCAAAAATAGTAGTCAGTAGTCACTGAAGCGGAGAGAAAATTGATTTGCATGGCACATGATAGAGCAGGAACAGCCTTTATGTTAATGGCACAGGGAGGAGATTGTGGGAAAGCCCAAATATCAAGGTGGGTGTAAGAAAAGTGAACAGGGAGAAGACAAAGAGACCAGGGGAGTCTAGGGGAATTTCTGAAGAAGGATTTTCCAGTGCCTCCTTGCAAGTGAAAATTAATTGTTTTGGGACTGGAATTCACAGCTCTGTCTTGCAGGGACTTAACAAGGCTGGTGGATTACCTCGCTCTGTGGTCTCAAAATGCTCTGACAGGTTCATATGTGTCAGGCAAACATTATGGTAATTTTAGCACTTTAGGGGTCTGCAGGAGTACATAAATACCACCTAAGCCATCCAGCTGAATTTAAAACTTAATTACTACCCCACTTAATAATATTCTCTCCCACCGCCACTGCTTTGGAGGATCATAGGGTTAAAAGAAATCGTTAATCTTCCTTAATGAAGCTATTTTCTATCAGGAGACAGAATGTCTTGCCCCTGTGGATTCTGAGATGGAGTTTTTGTGAGTGTTATGAATGGGGAAGTGGGGAGAGAGCGCTAGAGAAAAAGCAGTGCAGAAAAGGGGATAGGATCCAAAATGTCAGTGGTGGGAGGACCCTCTGACTCGCAGGCCCTTGATGAGTTTATCTGAAAGGAACATGATAGTCATGAAGAAAGAGGAGTGAACCCTATTAAAAACTAAGTTGTCTGTACAACAATGTTCCCACCACAACTACTAATTATTGGAATACCATCAGTTTATATATATATTTATATCCGCTTTTATGTAACTGAAACAAGAGCTCTCTTGAAACTGTGCATTTCCAGAGAAATCTAAAGCAGAATGGTGGTGGCAGACTTTGGGTCTCTGCTTTTAACTGTCAAAGTGGATCCATGTCCTCAAAGCTGCTTTTCTTGGGATTATATTGTCTTATACATGATTAAATTGCATGCAAATGTTCCAAAATCTCTGTGACCGTCCAAGTGCACATCCCTCCTTTTGCATCCATTCAGGGAAACTAAAACCTGCTCCTTAGAACAGTGCAAGGTTTAGTCCTCTCCTAGTCCATGGCTCCTGTAGTACACACTCCCTTGAGCACCATCATCTGCCTCATGCCAGGGCTGAGTGAGGAGGCTGGGATGGCTTTGTCCTTCTCTAGCTTGTCTTTGTTTGACCATCCCTTTGATGGAGATACTGAAGTGCTTTTGTTTCTCTGTTTCTTGTGTGTGTCCCTGGCTGCAGAAGATGCTGGATGAGTGCCAGGACAGGCGGAGCTGCCAGTTCCTCGTCAATAGCCGGCTCTTCGGGACAGATCCGTGCCCTGGAACTGGCAAGTACCTCATTGTGTGGTACAAGTGCAGGCCAAGTAAGTATCTCCCTATTGAATCTTCTGCTCTGTCGAGACCAAAGCATTTTCATACTTAGTACTCACCAGAGAGGCCTTCTAGGACTTCTCATTCCATTCCACCTTTATTTTCATAACCCCCCAGTGCGGAGCATTTCCCCTTTCCCCCTCACTTGCTGCCTTGCTAGGATGCTGCTGCTCCGTGTCCTTCCTCCTTGCCAGCAGCCTGAGTTGCAGATTGTTTTTCCAGGTGCCAGTGAAGGCCTTTGCCAACGCTGAGCTCATGCTGTCAGCAGTGGGTGGGCTGCTCCCACTTCTCACTTCCATATGCAGCCAGTGGGGTAGTGGGGCTTGTCCCCTCCCTGCTGGTCCCTCCAGAGGCAGTGGGAGCTCCTTGCATGGGCGAAGACTTCCTTCAGGCCTGGGAGCCTAAGGCAGGCACTGGCAATGGTGGTGTGACACGAAGCTCACCTGCCCATGCCACACCATAATCCAGCTTTTAAGTGCTCCCAGACCAGGCTGGGAAACGTTAACCTATGTCTTGCATGATTTTATTAGCTGTGTTTAAATTAAATGGGGCTGGCACCTGGATACTGGGAGTGCAGTCATGAATACTGGGACTGAGTCATGTGCAGCTTTGGCTCAGGACAATCACCACCCTCTTGGCCAGCTCCCGGTCCCAGCAGGGAAGTTAGCACAGCCTAGACACCATTCTCCACCAGTGCTTTGGAAGCAGACACAATAGTTTAGAGATAGATCAGGTTTGATGGAGGACAAACTGTGCCATTTGATGTCAGCTGGAAAACGGGATCTGTTTCTATTTGAGCATAAGTCTTATGAGGAGCATCTGAGGGAGCTGGAGGTGTTTAGCCTGGAGAAGAGGAAGCTCGGGGGGAACCTTAGCACCTCTACTACTACCTGAAAGGAGGTTGTAGTGAGGTGGAGCTCAATCTCTTCTTCCAAGTAACAAGCAACAGGAAAAGAAGAAATGGCCTCAAGTTGTGCGAGGGGAGGTTTAACGTGAGTATGAGGAAAAATTTCTTCACTGAATGGTGGTCAACCATTGGAACAGGATGCCCTGTTCCACCCTTCCTAGGGAAGTGGTGGAATCACTGTCCTTGGGCATGTTCAAAAAACGTGTAGATTTGATGCTTAGAGGCATGGTTTAGTGGTGGACTTGGCAGTACTGGGTTAATGGCTGGACCTTTCCAACCTTTATGATTCTGTGATTCTATGACCTAAAGTCTGGACAAGGCATTTCAGACCAGCCTAATCGCAAGCTTTTTAGATGTCATAACTAACATGGTTCCAGCACCACATCAGCAAAATTTCTGGGGACGAAACAAGAAAGGAAAGTTTGCACAGGGAAGAAAAACAGATCTGACTTCAGAAAAGGTTTGAAACAAAAGGAAAAACATTCAGACTCTGTCAGAAACAGCACAGAATAAGACTTTATACCCCAGCAGGTAGAGACCTGTGTTAATGCAATGAAAGGATCTGGCAAGATCTGTGAGGAATTCAAATCAAAAGTAGGTAATGAAGCACCTGCATTTGTTGTGGGATTTTTTTTGTGAGTGATTGTAATATCCCTTGTTGGGTGAGAAATGCACCTACCTCTACGAGGCAGGTGATTAACAGGGTGTTCCGGCAAGTCCTCCTGAACCTGCAGGTTTTGCATCAAAGCTCGCTTGAAAAATCTGACTATTGAGGGCTGTGCTGAACTTATGAAGGTATTTCAGGACCCATCTGGGCATAAATATTTATGGCTTGGAATTCTTTGCTAATTACAGACATACTAGAAAAGAAGCAGTTTGTATGTGTGGGGAGTAGGTAATTTTCCTGAAAGAGAGCAGGGGAAGATGCTTAAAAATATTTCCCCAAGACATTTTTCAGGCAGCTCCAACTTTGCAGGGTGAAACAGGGTAACCTGACAGAAATTATTTTCTCTTAGTGACAGGGCAAACGTTTAATCAGAACCCACTGGATTAATAACAATGTTTGAAATAAGTGAGGATTTTTTTTGCACAAAGATACCAGGACATGGTCTGCCTTTCTTTCCTTGATGATTCAAAATGGTAATTTTGAGTCTCTCAAACAGAATCTAGTTCTTTTGTGGGTTCAAGCCTTTCCACCTTTCTATAGGGAGAAGGTTAATGAGGGATCGAGGAATAATGAATCCATAGAGTGCAAAATACAGCATCATGAGAAATTTTGATGGGCTTTTTGGGTTATTGACTATTTTAGTATTGATTATGAGATTTAAATGAATATATGCTTAAGAGCTGATCCCCAAAACTGTGGTCCTATGAAGTGCTGACCTGCTCCATAAAGTCTGAGCACACACAATTGTAACCAAAGAGTACCAGAGAGTCCTTGTTGAGAACTCACTGCCTGGCACAGGTTTTGATCCATAAGTTTGTCAAAAGACAAATGTAGTTCTGTTTCTGAATTTATCTTTCTTAATAACAGACCTGACAGAAGTACTTTAATAGGAAGCTATTTAAGGTCTAAATTGTCCTCTTGGGATATCCATTTCTTTCTATTGCTTATTGAGGAAGCCTGTTGTGACCTCGCTACTGAAGTAGGTGTTTTGGTTAAGCATCTGTCTAGGTAGAACGAATGTGAATTTTCTTGCACACAGGTATTAGAGATGCTTTGGGAAGTAGCCTGCAGAGTTTGGACAGGACACTTTTAACATAAAATAAGGATACCCAGGCCCTCCCACTGCCAGTCATGCTGGAGCCTCAAAAGGCCTCTGAACAGATCTAGTTATCTAAAACGAAAGACCTTCTTGAAAGAAAGCAAAAGTGAAGTTAGTGGCATTTACTTGTACCTTTGCTGAAGAATAACGAGATGGTGCAGTCATCCCCTCCAGCCACTGTCACTGCAGTTATGTCTCTCTGACATTACATTGCATTTGAAATCTAGTGGTTTCGATGCTCACTGGCTGTGTGGGGTTCATGCACAAGGCAAGGTGCTATTTTGGTTTCTCATGGGCAGAATTTTAAGGAGATGGAGGACAGTAAATCATGCTGAAACTGAAAGACCCAGATTTTTCAAATGGTGGGGCTCTGGGGAGCAGGGCAATGGGGGATCTCTACTGCACTAACCCCTCTGGGACTGCTTTTGCTGGAAGCAGGGAAAACTCATGGAGGTGTTGTGGTTCACCTCCTCTGGAAATTACAGAAATAGTTCAGAGAAGTGCATGCTTAACTAGAAATAGTGAGAAATTCAATACCTTTTGTGGTGTTTTGGAAGTCTTATGCTAATCATGGTCCCCTCTGATCCAGTAGATGGGTCTAGGGTCTAATGGACACTCATCTTGAATGCACAGGGCTCAGATATGGACATGGAACTGCTTTTAAAAGTCAGGAGTTTGGCACTTCTGAGTATTCTCTGTGCCTGTAAATAAATAAATACACTATGTCTGTGTGTACTTTTAATTTTAAGGTATAGGATGTTTAAAGAGATCAGAAATTATCCATAAAATACTCTATTCTGTCTCAATTTGGGGCAAGTGAGATTAATTTATAGCTTCTATGTGATCTGAGGGCCAAGGTCCATTGAAAGTGTGTAGAGGCTTAGATTTTATTTTTAGTTGACATGGTGGTTTTGGCCAAAGGTTGGACTTGATGATCTTGGACTTTTCCAACCTTAATGATTCTACAATTTATTTTATTTTTCTATAGCATATATGCCTTAGTTTCTAATATACACCAACCTTTGGGAATATGCTCAAGGGCACAGCACAGGTCTCAGAAGAGCACAGCTACGGCTTGTGGTTCTAAACTTGGAGGTGCCTCTGCAAACCATCCTGCTATCTACAAACTGAGCAGTGAGCCCCCAGGAGGATCCCCCCAGGTCAAGGTGAGGATGTGTTGCTGTTGCACTCAAACCTGAAGTTGTTCTCTGCTGGTGTAGATGTATTCTACACTACATTTAGCACTGGCAGGAGTGGTTTCTAGTGGGAAGTCCAGAAATGGTCACCCTGTTTTAGAGGCTAAAAGAATTGGTGAGAGTGGTGATGGGCTGTCCCATGCCACTGGGCCTCAGTGCCAGGGAACAGGAACATTTAATTTATCAGGGCCAGTGTAGCCTGAGATTCTCACCCAAAGCACACTGAAGCCTAGGATCAAGCCTTGAACACACACAGGATTTCAGTCTCTAGGATATCTCTCAGGATCATTAAAAAATTGCACATAAATCCAATTATTTCTCAGGTAACATGCTGATTTGATTTAGACCCATTAAGTGTAATTACTGGGTAGGCTACAGGACCACATAATTAGAGGGAATTGACATACTATTTAATTGGTCTAACATGAATTCCCTCAACTGAAATCTGGATTCACCAATATTATTCAAAAAATTCAGTGTTTGTTCATCCCCCTCACTTCAGAGGCAGAGAACTGTGTAAGATCATGTGTTATTGTAAGCTAGGAAATATTTGCTCTGTGTGCCAGACTTTCTGGAGGGGCTGTGTGATCTAATCCTGGCTGGGAACAGGGTCTGTGCGGCTGCCCAAGTCATCCTGAAGAAATAACTTCAACTCTGCATCCCAGCAATACCATTGCAGCTGATTTTACTGGGGCTGGTTGCTGCTCTGGGCTATTGTACCAGCAGGGATCCCTCTGCCCCTGCACAGCTGCTCCTTACTTGTAGTGGCTTTTTGGTTGTTTGGTTATTTTTTTTGGCTTTGCTGTTTCAGAAGTGCCAATACTCCTGAACAAAATGGGGCCATAAGTGCTTGTCCTTCTCTGGAAAGGGAATATTTGGGATGAGATGTGTTGTCTGTGTGGCCATTTGCTGGCAGTGCTGTTGAGAGGAGAAGGCTCTTACTGTATTTATGTGACTTGCTCCATGAGTCCCCCACACAGTGCCCTTCTCTTGTCTCCTCCTTTGCCATTGCCATGCTGTCCTGCTGTCCTGGATGCACTGTCCCCTTCTCAGCTCTGAAGAACCTAAACTGTATCTTCCCATAATGAAATTTTCCCTTTTTTTCTGTTGGGCAGTTACTCCTT